GATTTCATTTGAAAAAACATATGTAGTAGGTAGTATTACTATAGATAATAATAAATAATAAATGATTCACTACGTACTTAAAATGAAACTTGTTTTAACTCAAACTAACTTTTCATATGACGTATACTAATGGATGCTTCATAAATATAAGAAATTATTTTGTTGTGTGTGTCTAGAAACAAGCTAGTATTTTTCTTGTATATAGTGATGATTATGAATTAAAATATGACGCCCAATAATATCCAGAATATATGTTTAATATTAAAATGTACTTTCAAAAAACCATCCATATAAACCCTCTGAGGACTGATTCTTTTGAAGCAAAGAAAAAGTCCATTATAATAATGCTGGAAATTACTAAATATCCTATGTGTGACTATTTTCGACACTTTTGAAATCCTGATAATTTACTATGTCAACACAGGAAAATTACTCTACAGGTGATTTGGTGGGTGTGGGTGTGAATATGCATATTATGTTCATCACACACCCTCACCCTCAATCTTTTGATAAATATCCATTACATTTTTATTATTTCGATCTTAATTATTTCATTTCTCTATTTTTTCATCAACTTCCACGATTTAATTATTCAGAATAACAAAAACTCGATATCGAAAATAAATAAAATATTTATTTAAACAATTCTTCACAAACAAATTCATCATTCGAATTCAATTTCATCTTCTTCATCTTTTTCAACAGAAATTAGCATGTTGTTCTTCTCGATTCTTTTTCTTTTCTTCTCAATGTTAATAAAAGATTTAGAAGATTAATCAATATTTCATTTATTTTTCTCTTACTTTATTAAATTTTGTGTGAAGAATTAAATGTTTAACAATAAAATAAAGAACAATAAATGAAAAATAAATATTTCAATTTATTCACTACAATTACGTATGTCTCTTAATAGAGCGAGATAAATATGTTCTCTTCTCTCACTCTTTTCATTGATTCAATCTGTTAGTAACTTTTAGAAGTTATTTTCTAATTAATAAAAAGTAGTTAGATCTCCATTTCTGTTTGGAAAAAAAAGAAATCTTAATTTGTCGTGTTTCATTGATAATAAGTCGAAATATTATTTTAATCAAATGACGGACATTGCAGAAATCGATTTTTTTTGAAGAGAAATGATTTTGAATAATATTTGATTAAAATTTTGTGTTTCTTCAAAATATTTTGATATGAGATGCCGATGAATAAAGAAATGATGAAAAATAGTTTATTCTTTTTCTTTAGATTTTTCAAGAGTTCTTCATAAAGTAAAAGAATTGTTAATGCATATGTATTCAGATGTCACTTTTATTTCAATTTCAATTGTTAAATTGTTGGTGTTGAACGAATAAAATCTAAATGAGAATTGTGCACGAATTATTATTTTCTTTCAATTTTCTCTCCATGTGATGAATTGAATAGAGAAATTGATTAATTTTCATATAAAATAATCTTCTTAGATTTAACATTATTTATATTCTAAAGATTTACTTTTTTATCATTATTGATAATTTGAATAATTCTTTTTGGAAATGAAATAATGTCACAGATCTGAGTTTAAAGTCGAAATTTCGATGTTATAAATATTTATTCTTTTATAGATTTTCTATTTGTTCATTTTGAATATTTGAATATAGATTCTCTAAAATAATTCAATTTTTTATAGGAAAAAATTGAAATTCTTTTTTAACATTAGTAATTACAGAGATATGTGTATCAATCGTATGAGAATATAGATTTTTATTCAACTGTTGAATTCATAAAAGAAAATTATTGAAAAATAAAAAATATTTCTTATAAAATTCATTTGAGATTATTAAACAAGAACTTATTTCGATTAAATCGTCTGACTGATTTATTTTAATCGTACAGAAATTGAGAAGATCATACATATTTTTAAATTAAGAAATATCTTTACTCATTGTTAAGAAAATCATCGAATTAACAGATATTTTTATTGTCATGAAGAATAAAATCTTTCCGAGATTTACATTTAAGTTGAAAATTGATCACTGCCGGCGTGTCTCAATGATGAACGAAAAAAAGAAATTATCAAGATAGTTTCTATAAAAATGTTATGAATTTTATGATTTGTGACTATTTAAGATTATGAATGGTTGTTAACAATTGATAAGATTCGTTGAATGTTCATAAACATTGAATTTCTCTTATCTTATGAAATAAATCTATCGCTGTCGTATTTTGATGAACATCTTTGAAATATTCCGATAAATTTGTTGTCGATATATGAAGAGTTTATTGAGAAGAATCGATACTTATAGAAAATGATTTAAAATTGAGACAATAAGAATTGTTCAGTCGAAAAAATAATTCACATTTCTACGACTACAGTCTTCGCCGAAGAACTTGTGCAAGTTTGTTGAAATAGCATGATGAATGGAGTAAGAGTTGTCAAGATTTTGTATTCTGTTCAATCTGTTCTCTTATACAACGAATATATCCTTCTATTTCTGAAATCCTCGAGTTGGTCGGTGGCAATGATTTTAACAGAATTTCTTTGGCTTTAAGACAATATTCGAGAGCCTTCTTAGGCTTTTGATTGCGACTATAGGCCAATCCCATGTTTGTGTAAATAATACCAAAATTTTCATGATCAGCAGGAAGTCGTTGTTGTCGGTTGAGCTCGAGCGCTGTTTCATAATGTTGAATAGCTAATTTTGGTTCGTTTTTTCCTCTGTAAATGTTACCCATCGTTAGATGAACGTTAGAAAGCTGTGGATCAGCAAATAAGCGCAGTATCGGGTAAGCTTTCTCTTCATATGCTAGAGCTGTGTCGAGATCTCCTTTCTTCCAATAAATTTGACCCATTACCATGTGAGTTAGAGCAGTGTTGCGTCGATTACTTCTTTTCTCATGAATCTCGAGTTCCTTGAAATGATATTCTAATGCTTGATCATACTGACCGAGAGCAGTTGCTGCAGCTCCCAGTCCATAGTAGCATCGAGCTCTATCTAATTGCTCTGTAGACGGTTCTGACAGTAGTTGTAGGTAATAATTCATCGCTTGTTCATGATCACCGCGTCGGTTAAGTAAACAGCCAAGTGAGGTAATATCATCGCCTATATCAGATTTTGTTTGTTTCATTAAATCTTTCAGTTCATAATTATCTTTGCTACAAAGACTAAGATCTGCGATCCAACACTGCCCAGATTTACTAAATTCGAGCTGATCAATTTTGAAGATGCAGCCCAACATTATGAGAACTTCTTTTTCTTCGCTATAGGCAGAAAGGTGAGCGACGTTTGCATAAGGCTTTGTGTTTTTGATCGTTGTGTCAATATTAAATTGAAAGAGAATTCGTGTGCTATCAACTGTAATAGGAGCACCAGAGTCACCGAAGAAGCTACCTGTGCTTCGATCAAGACTAGTGCTTAAGAAGCTGTGCATAGATACGAATTGTCCGACATTACGAAGCATGTAGTTTACCTCTTTTGTCGAAATAGTTGAACCTCGATACACTCGGAGAGTATGATCTTTGCGTTGAGACGAAGCCGCATCACGCTGATATTCCTCAGTTAGTTGAGCGTTCAAATCGGTAATGAAGAAACGCATAGCAAAAAGTACTTCGTAGTCCGAGTCGCGAAGTGCTTTGTTCAGAGTGGAGAAAAATAAGTCGTAACGAGTGTACCACCATACAGCTTTGTCTGACTGATACTCGTTTTGAAACTTTTCGATGACCTGTAATTGGACCTTGTCTCCTTCATAGATTCGTTTAAAATGATTGATGAGGTCTTGCTTCGCCGTGGATTTTCGGTCAGATGCTATTTTGAGGAGAACATCGATAAGCACCTGAAAGAACATAAAGACAGCATTTTTGGAATCCCTTTCTTCTGAAAAGATCCCCGGTTGTCGAGTGTTATAGACGCTCAGCACAATCGAATCATTGTCCACTCGTTTGAGCAGTCGTTTATATTTTAAAATAGCTTTGATCAATTGATCCGATTGCCCAAAGATGCCCTGATACTGCAATATAAGAGAAGTGTTTACAAAACTACTTCGACAACGAAACTCACTTTTTTATAACTTTCGCTCCATATCGGCGACATTTCAACAGAAGAATAAACGTAGATTGCTTTCAGTTGGGGAAAACCATGTAAAGCTGGCACAATCTGGTGACTGTAGGGTTCAGATACTAGTAGAATAACCTTTCGCCTGGTTAAATCAATTCCATAATTCATCCATGCAATAATATCCTCGAAGATGATTAGTTCAGATATCATTTGTCTCAATTGTCTTTGAGTTTGGATATTTTCTTCGCTCGCGTTCACATTTTCATCCAGCCAGATAAGTATGTAATGGTCAGATTCTCTCGTGACGTTTTTGAAAAGACGCGCTGGTCGTTTCTCTGCCGATGTTACAGAACTATTGAGACATGTAGTGGTCATTTTTAGATCTGAAATTTTATCAACTGTCCAAATGTTAGAAATATGAAATAATACAGAAGAAAGGTACTGAGGTGATTCGTTGACTTACTAGCTTTGTAATCAACTATATTATAAAGCTGATTTTTACCTATTCTGTGACTATGATTTCTGGTTGGCTTTTCAAAACATATGCTGAATGGCCTAAAAGCAAGAAAAAATAGTCTATTTTTAGTTTTTATCTTGTCAACTGTCGACGAGGTCTCATATTTATACCACATACCCTACATGATATAGATAAAAGATGCAGCATATGAATGATATTTAGATGTAGTAGTCAGACGCAAAGCATACATTTATGCATTCCAACAAAGCAAATAGATGGTAGAAAACTATGTCTTCACGAAGTATTTTCACTATGAATTTTTTCACAATCTTGCTGTCTCTCATATGCTATGCGCACCATATGTAAGTGCTATAAGAGAACATAGAATAATTTGCGGTGTCGTTGTTATATACTACGAAGAATTTTCTGCTATATGGAGAAAAAAACATTTCTGACGATTTTTACCTATCCAAAAAAAAAGTCAGACGATGCAGTCTTTTACAATTCTTCTATCATCAGCGGATAAAGCAAAACAAACCGAACAACACTGTTTTGAGCGTCGGAGCGGCACTTTCTGCTACAGGAAGAAAATTATCAAGACATTTTTGTTTCATTACATTTACTAAAATTGTAGTATGCCAGCATTTTTCTTCTCGTTGATGATTTACAAAATAAAAAATACTATATTTTTTCATAAATAAATGGTATATCAACTGGGAAATTGAAAGCACTCAGCTCTAGAGAATACTCTGTATTAAAATACGAGAATTAATCTATGCTTGAACCTTCCGTGTACTGTTTCTTATCAACAGTTACAAATCAAATGAGCTCATTTAATATGATCTCATTTATAGTAAACGTACATACTAGTCTGATTGTGTCTGCTCTTGATTTAACACTAAATAGTGAATATGTAGTTCATCGACACTCTCTAATCAGAAAAATGAAATAAAAACATTTCTATTTTTATTTTTATGCTAGACTAGATAATTTTATTGAAAAAGTAGAAAATCAGAATTATTTTGTTACAAATGCAAGAAATGTTGACCAAACCAATCACTAAAAACCTAAGAAAATATTTATCATATATATTTATTTATGAATTTTATTACTTACCAATGATGTATAGGAATAAAATAAAACATTATTCAATTGAATAGCGGGCCATGCACAATAATTAGCTTTCATAACAGTTGGAAAATCCTATGATTAAACTTTTATAAGAAAATAATTCAAAAAATAAAGATTTAATTTACTTCACAGAAACATTGGAAGATATAGAAGAATAAATATATACGCAAGATTTTTTTTACATATATGTTTGTATATACCATCTTAGTTTTTGAAATGACACCCTATATGGAAACGTTGTTGTTAATGAAAACAGAGAATTTATTTATCGTTATACGTTGAGGCTAATCGTTTGAGCTTTTTATTAATACAAAGAATAAGATAAAACTCATCTTTATTTTTATTTATAGTAACCCGTGACGATGAATTGATAAGTAGTCTATTCTGAAATTGCTAATAAATAGCTTAAAATGTATTATTCATCTCATCCATCAACATAAACATAACTTCACACTGTATTTGACTCACAGCTTGTTGTGTTTGATATGCAATATACTGATCATGAATTTGAATCTCGATCCAGAATAATCGTACTCAAGTTCGTCCAATTATATTGTTTATTAACGCACACAAACGCGTTAAATATTCCAACGTGGTTATAAGTGATATAATATTGTCATTTTTTCCCAACAAAAATTCGCACGTGTTAATGTGTTCGTTCTTTCTCTTATTTCTTTTGGTTACCTGCACCTGCAAAACAATCTTTTTCTTCTAGCTTGTAAAAATATACACATATCCTTCTCCCGAACATCATTTATTTTTCTTTCTTAAGTCATCATATGATTTAATTAGAAGAAGGATTATGGAGAATGCAAATGATAATATTAGTTGTTCTAAATTTCATTCATTATTTGTAATCGTTCTTCTAGATTATGATCAACTATGTTATAATAAATGTAATTGCCCAAATTCATCCAGTACGATCGTACTTTTGTTGTATATTTTTGTTTCATATGTACTAAGATATCTTATATTGCAAAATAAAATTGAAAAAGAAATTTTTAAAAAGAGAATGACCAAAAGTTAAAGATGCGAGAAAGCACGCTATAAATCATATCTTTTGAATGTATGTATAAAAATATACTTCATCAATAGACTTCAAGCAAAGAAGTTTTTTGATATTAATAATATTTTTATTTATTCATCTATTTTACATTTATTTAGTATCACACCATTTAGATAAATACAATATTTTCTTTATTTTTTGTTCATTCAATATAATCTAGTTGAAATCAGGTATTATTCCAATAACAATTTATTTTTGTGATTGTAAATGTTTTTTTTTCATGATATATTTCAAACAAGTAAGACTTTGTATTGCAATAGTACTATTTTGTTGTTTTAGTTGTCTAATATATGGTGAGAACTTGGATTGCATGAACATCAACTTTGATTCATTTGAATTAAGAAATTGAAATGAACCAACAGTACAACATCAATTCATATAAGAGAGAAAAAAATCAATCATGCATATAAAATGCTCTTTTGTAAATCTTTATTTTTATTTTTATGTTTTGATGTATGTATGATATTTAAGAACAAAGAAGAAAAGAAAATATGATCTTGAGTAGTCAGTTTAGAGATAACAAAATAAGGATAGAGGAAATAAGCGTTACTCACTCACAAGTCACTTTCGTTTGTTCTGCCATTAATGCGCATTATACATACAAAGAAAATGTGTATGTATGTTTTCTTTCGTTCTATTGCATTAATACACTAATTCTGTGCAATGAATAACGTGCATCACTAATAAAACGAAAATAACAACTATTAGACGAATATCTGATGTTTTTCTTATCTCTAACGGATGAATAAATACTTTTTCTGTAAAATTTTAATTTATTTTAAGTCGTAATATTTTATGATTTTAGTGACGAACAAATAAATAAATAAATACGTAGATAAATGAAGTAACATGAAAAAAAATGAAATAAGATTGATGAGAGAAGAATGAAGATAGTTTGTATATTATTTTTATTTTTAATTTTCTTTTTACAGTACTAATGCAAATAATAAACGATACAGTGGATATTGATATGAATGTGATGTAGAATATATACAGAAACATTTACATCCATGTCTTCGATTTACTCATTGAATTTTTGAGATAATTAGATTACTTTTATACTGTTCAATTCATCAGGCATTTCTATGTTCAAAAGAGAAAGCATATTTGAATGTTTATATGAAACTTTTTAAATATAAATAAAACCTATTGATGCTGTCTGTTAGATACTGATGTGTTCGCCTTCCCTTTTGGCTTTCTTGTTATTTTCTCTTATGATATATGTGATGAATTTTTCCGATTTACTGCCGATTGATCCCTACTTCGCCCTCACCCACACTTCGCTCTTGTGATGTTTCTTTCAAGTAATTTCCAATCAGGGATAAATCGAGAGGATCCTCACTTTTCCTTTTCTGTCATATATATGTATATGTGATTCATATACAAGTATATGGTAGAAAAGGAAAAGTCCATCGCATAATATGAGGGATTTTTCCTCAGACAGTTACGTTTCTTACCTGTACAATAGAAAAATAACATTATGAATGTGCGTCTCTACGTAATCACTTCCTTGCTACGAGGAAAAAACCACTCATGGATGAATGATCACTGCAGATAAGAAGAGTATATATACGTGTGTATTTCTCATACATTTACTCTATCTTAATAGTTGTTTCTTTTATTTGCAACTAGTATATTTATTCATTCGTATTTTATATCAATCGTCCAATATCAAATTCATCAGGTTACTACTGTACTATTTTTATTTGACTCACAGTATTTCTATGATGTATTATCATATCCCAATCTATTACTCTAGGAAAAAGTCAGTGGCGGATCTAGGATCTTGGAAGCGAGGGGTAATACTTGAGGAGAGGGAGGGGGGTGATTTCGGCTAAAACTATTTTTTGAGGCCAATCGAAGTAGTATGAACCTATTTTTCCGTTTATTTTTTTCGTGCTGTTGTTACATATACCTATATCATATATAGTGTGATTTATCATCTCCATCTTGAGGGTGTGGGTGTAGGTGAGACAGAAATATTCACATTCATACCTTCACCCACACCCACACCCACTTGCACTCGAACCCAGATCGAGCGGCACTCTGAAAGGTTGGAAGCAGTCTTCTACATTCTCACTATCAGAATATTTGTAGTCAACATGGTTAAAGTATGGTATCAACACGATCTAAACGTTCCGATGAAAATCAACATCGATTCTGGTTCAGATATTGATGATTTAAAACAAAACATTTTTGGTAAAACTGATAAAGGACAGTATCTGGCGAAGTACAACGGCCAACCATTAAGACCATCGGCGAAAGTTCCAAAGGATACAACTGATGATAAACCAATTGTGTTTACTAAAATTGTTGATTTACCACCTGTAGGTAAGTAAAAAGATGTTATAAGTATTACTTTCGTTGAGTTAAAATTGGAAACTATCATACCTATAAGACTTGAAGAGTGATTATGCTTTGTGCATACTACAATGCTTATGTATTCATATTTATCAGAATGAAAAATTGAATAGATATCTATAAAACGCCTATATTAAGCTTACCCAAGTGAAAGAATTAGTGTAATGAGTAACTACGAATAAAAACTCAGGAATAGAAGATGTCAACATGAAAGTATGGGTATAGGGCGTGGATGGGTGAATGTGGGTATTAGGTGTGGGTCGAGGTTTACTTTTTTTCTCATACGCACCGCACCCACACCCTCAAGATGCTTATGTCGAAAAACGACCCCTCTCCTTTACTTTTTTCAAGATGACAATTATTATTGATCAAAACAACAAAATCGAAGGATTTCTTTTCGATCAAATATTTTTCATTTGAATTTATCTTCATTTTCTTCATTTAATTCGAAAAGTAAAAGATCTTTTCATCTCAAAGTCACAAGACAACTTTAAGTTTCACAAAAATAAAAAATTTCTCAATCAAAATGTTTTTTTACGGAATTTTTGAATTCGAAAAAAGAAAATTTCTTATTCTTCAAATTTTATTTTTTCAAATTCGATTTTTTTTCTTTTCTTTTTTGCCAAAACCCAACATTTTCACAAATTCATTTTAATAAAATTCACCTTTTTCTCATATTCTTAGAACAAAACAACGTACAATCTAACAAATTCAAACAATATGGAATTATTTGTGCGGGGGGAAATGAACTAGGAAATGAATTAAATCAACTCTTTTTCCCTCATGGGATCTTTATTGATCATTACAAGAATATTTTCATTGCTGATCATGACAATCATCGGATTGTTGGATGGAAATGTAATTCGAGCGAAGGACAAATCATGGTTGGAAGAAATGGTCAAGGAAAGAGAGATGATCAATTGAATTGTCCAACAGATGTTCTTATTGATACAGAAAATAATTCTTTCATCATTTCTGATCGAAAAAATAGACAAGTAATCCGATGTTTTTATCAAAATGAAGCAAAACCACAAGTTCTCATTTCTGATATCGATTGTTATGGTCTGTCAATGGATAAAAATGGATTTATTTATATTTCTGATCCGGAGAAAAATGAAGTGAGACGATGGAAAAAAGGAGAGGGAAGAGGGACAACTGTTGCAGGTGGACATGGACAAGGAGATCAACTCAATCAACTCAATTCTCCTCGTTATATCTTTGTTGATGAAGACGAGTCTCTTTATGTAGCAGATAAAGATAATCATCGTGTGATGAAATGGACAAAAAATGCAAAGGAAGGAATTGTTGTTGCTGGTGGAAATGGTGAAGGAGATAGTCTCGAACAATTGTCTTATCCTTATGGAGTGGCTGTTGATTGCTGGGATCAAATCTATGTGGCAGATTTTGGAAATCATCGAGTAATGCGTTGGTGTGAAAGAGATGCAGAAGGTGAAATTGTTGTTGGTGGGAATGGAAGAGGAGAAGAATTAAATCAGTTGAATGATCCCATTAGTTTATCATTTGATGATGAAGAGAATCTCTATGTTGTTGATCTGAAGAATCATCGAATATTAAAATATGAAATATGTCTTGATTAAAAGGTTTTGTTTTTGATCAAATGAACTTTGAGAAAACAAAACAAACGAATTTTGAAATAATAATCAAGAAGAACTTTTGATGAAAAAATAAAAATAATTTGAAAGAAAAAATTGTTTTTTGAATATTTTTATTTAAACTTCAATAAAATCTTTTTTCAAATTTTTATTTTCTTCTTTTTTTTCTGCAATTAAATAAATTTGTTCATCAAAATATTTTTCACTCAAAATCGATTTGACATTTTTATTGCAGATTTTTCAACGAAAACAAAACGACTTCAAAAGAATTTTGTAAAATAAAATAAAACTTCAGTCGAAATAAATTTGTCTCGATATTTAGACTCCAAGAAGCAAAAGAAATAATTCGAACAAATCTGTTCTTTAAAAATTGATCAATTTGATTAAATAAATGTCTTCTGTTTGAGTTTGAACATCTAAAGAGAAAATTTTCATTTATTCTCAAACATTTGTTAGTGACGAAAACGATTTTTCGTCATGTTTTTCTTGTGAAATGTGAAAAGATCAAATATTTTATTCAACATTTATGACAAGTTTGTTTTTCTCCTCTAACCAATTCTTTTTCCATCATTGACCAACAACAAAAAACAAATAATTTGGTAACATTTTTTCCTTTTTTAAGAGAAACAATATGAACAAAAGAAGATAATTTCAATTATTTTATCGATTTGAAATAAAACAAATAAATTATTTTTATTCAAAAGACAAAAAATGAAGAAATGATTCTTTCATTTGTCATTGCTTATTTTGATAAAAATTGCTTTGTTGTTTTGTTCATTTGTGTTTTACCTAAGTGATCAACGTTGAGAAATGTGAGAAAAATATTTAATTTTTCGATAATATTTTGAAAATATATTTGATGATTGTTCTGTTGATAATCAATCGATAAACGAATAAATACTTTTAATAACTCTTTATTGTTCGTTTATCTGCGAAGATTATTGATCATTTATTCAAGATTTATTTGAAAATGACTGAAATTTTGAAAAGTTGAAGGAATTGTTCATATCTATAAGTGTGAAAATTGATTAAGCGAAGAGAAAATCTTTTCATTTCGTTTATTTTTGTTAACTGAAAAGAATATTTCTTTTATTTTCTTCTCTGTGAAATTCAAAATGATTCCCATTCGACGAAAAACAAAATGTCGCTGAAAATTCTTGAACCCTCAAGATTTATAATTCTAATTTAAGAATAATGCTATATGTCGACAACTTTATGTGCTTTAATAATGTTGATCTTTTTTTCTTCTTAAAAACAAATAAATAATAAACCGAATACCATAGGATAAAAAATTATATTGTTAAGAAATGAAGAACGATTAAATAAAGTAATGGATAATATTATTATTTAATGGATGATGGAGGTGTTTCAAGAATATAATTAAATAATGTTTTATGTTTATCCAGACGAGAGGGATAACTCACAAGATATTTATATAAAATTCCAACTGTTGCTTTTTCAACTTTCAAATATTCATAAACTTTAATGAATGAGTAAAATAAATTTTCATCATGAAAAGCAGCATAAATTAGTGGACGTCTAGCTTCGGATGCAGCCATTAATTGAATAATTGCTAAAAATAAATAATTGCAAAATAATATTTATTCAATATTTAGAGTAAAATTGTACCTTTCAGTTCTTTATCACCATTAAATACACCACAACCCCAGTTTCCAGTGGCAATACCAAATTCAAAACCGGGCTCTTTTTCCAATGGACGAAAGCTAGCGTAAGCTTTGATTAATTCACGATCAACATTTTCCTTTTCATATTGTGTTGATGGATCACGAAAATAAATTGCATCCATAGCTACTAAATGACACCATTTTCGGCCCCAGTTATCTCTAAAAATCAAAAACAAATGTTAACAGTCACTCAATGTTAAAAAGAAACAATGATATAAATTTTATTGACAATGTTTCTTACTTTGGTGTAGTATCTCTATAATCGCCAGCGAATTGAAATGAATTTGCATAACCTGTGTATGATGAATATCGTTCACAACCAATCAAGAATATACATTCGTTATCTTTCATTACTTCACAAACAAGTAGACTAACAAGCATCTCAGGACTAATACTAAAACGAATCTCTTCTTGTACACAACCTGATCCTAAAACACCACCACCCTAGTATATTTATAAAATAATTTCATCATAGAATGACATAATTATTCGGATACTTACAATATATTTATTAGCAAAATCAACCTACAAAAGGATTTATTTAGTAATAAAAAAAAGTCGTATAATTCTCTTTACTTGTAATACATTCTTGATATCTTCAATTTTTTTTTCTTTTGTCAAACACAATTGAGAGAGACCTGTTTTTGAATTGGACCAATTTGGATAGGACTCTTTAGGTAATTCATATCGTTGAATAGTAATGACACCACTAGGCACTAAAACATATAACTATTATAACAAAGAGTAACAAAATTGTTATAAGAATACTTGTTTCTGTAATACGTCGAAAGTAGTTTAAAATACATTTGAGTTTTTCAATGTTTTCTGGGGGGCCTTTTTGATATAATCTTCAAAATGAAATAAATAGTAGGCTGTGGAGTACAAAACTATGAAAATAAATATTTTTACCTATGAAAGTTTGGTTCTTGAAAGTTCTCATGTTGCTTTTCTTCATCATAAACAGTTGGAAATAAACAGAAAAATGAACAAGCTAATAATGAAGCAGCTTGTTGTTGCGACATTGTAAGTGAGTAATTTGATTTCTGGCGTAACAATGGTGGCGTCTGAAGTATATTAATTTTCAAATGTAAGAATACAAAAGAATAAAGAAAGAGCTACTTGAGTAAAATTTTTGTCAACATCTAGTGCAAATGTACAGATATTGGGTAGAACAGTCCACATAAAGTATCTAGAGTCTTCTTTCGAAAAAACCTATTTAGAATTACATTTATTTCTTTTTATATATAAGTGAAATAGTCTACCTTGTTTATGAGCTTAGCGAAGTTATCCATATTATAGTTATTTTGAGCGCAGTTTCTAATTGTGTTCTAGAATAATACTTCATTGACTAGAGTTTTAAAAAAATAGATTTCGAATTATTACTTTTAAATCTCTAAAATTTGCTTTTTTATTTTCACATTTTTGTTTGAGTTGGTTTAATGCAAGACAAATACGTTGCCACATAGGCTGTCCATTGTTCTTTTAATTATTAGAAAATCATGTGAAAAGTGAAATAAGAATTTATTCAACATACAGTCATATACTGAGGTGAACACGGCATACGAATATGACCTATATTCCATATATCATGGTAATTATTTGAATCATTGATTGGCTATTCGAAAACAAAAGAGAAATGATCTTTCTTTCACAAAAATACTTACGGCGATCATAAATTTACAATTTTGATCCTGTATTTTTTCCATGTCTTTCATCGAAGGAGGTTGAGAACAACTATTAACAATACTGTTCAAGGATGTAACCTAGAATACAGTCTGTTGAGGTGAGGAATAAAGATTCATAAAAAAAATAATTTGATTACGTCGTCATGAATTGCATCATCAACGGATAAATTATGATTTATTCCAGTGTCTATAGTTTATTTTATTTAAAAATCGTAGACAAAATTTTATGAACTCGACTTACTTTCGTTAGGATTTGTTTCACGAATGTTTTGTCGTCTATCTTGTGGTGGATCGATGTGTCGTCTAGCCATAGTATTACGTGAAATTATCTTAATAATTCAGCGCAAAATTCTGTGAACTAAGAAGAGAAGAAAAAATGTATGTTTGCAACGTTTAAAAACGTGATTTGTGTGTGCAGTATGCAAATAATACAATTTTTCTCTTTCTAAGGAAGAAAGAGAACAACCCGAAGTCACTTTTATTTAAATGAGATCGAAAAAATTTAACACTCAAAGGTATAAAATTGTCGTTTAATGAAAAAGGAAAGTTGTTAGAATTTAAATATTATATAGATAACAATAAATAAGTCGTTGTGAAATCAGCATTCAATCCGTTCTTGTAAGTAGAATTTGCATATTTAAATATTTTTTTCAATATCGAATTACTTGAATAGATGTATTCAATTTATAATAGACGTCTCAGTTTTGTGATGCAATCGGTTACATATTAAGAATAGGCTGTTCTTTCAAGATGATTTCAACCTTTTTGAAAAAGAATATTATGTAGCTACAAAGAAATGAAGCAATGTCTTGTATCGATGTTTAAATTAATTTAAGCACAAATAAATATATGTTTATTTTCTTGAATATCTTATATTGAATCGATAAAAGTATTATTTAAGAAATGAAACAGGTGTATTTAGAATATATTCAAATAGTGTTCCTCGCTCTACTTGAGTAAGATATTGTTGAATGTATTGATATAAATCTGCCACTGTTGCTTTTTGATCTTTCAAATACTCATAAACAACATTAAATGAGTTTACTAAATTTTTATTACGATATGCTGCATAAATAAGTGGACGTTTAGCTTCAGAAGCAGCCATCCATTGAATAATTGCTAGTAAAAAACATCAAGAATGAAAATTATTTAAATGCTGTTTAATATGTACCTTTCAAATATCTATCACCATTGAATGCACCACAACCCCAGTTTCCTGTAGTAATACCAAACTCATAATTAGGACCTCTTCCCAATGGATAAAAGCTAGTGTAAGCTTTGATTAATTCACGATCGACAGCTTTTATATTATATTGTTTTGATGAATCACGAAAGTAAATTGCATCCATTGCTACTAAATGACACCATTTTCGACCCCACGTATCTCTAAAAAAACAATGATATAAATTTCATTGACAATATTTCTTACTTCGGTGTAGGATCTCTATAATCTCCAGCAAATTGAAATGAATTTGCATAACCTTTGTATGATGAATATTGTTCACAACCAATCAGGAATATACATTCATTATCTTCCATGACTTCACAAACAAGTAGACTAACAAGCATTTCAGGACTAATACTAAAACGAATCTCTTCTTGTACACAACCTGATCCTAAAACACCACCACCCTAGTATATTCATAAAACATTTTCATCATAGAAAGACATCATTATTTGGATACTTACAATATATTTATTAGCAAAATCAGCCTAGAAAAATCATTATGAATGAATATATAGATGACTTAACAGTATTTTACTTGTAACGTATTCTGAACTTCTTCAATTTTTTTACTCGTTGTTAGATGTAAATCACAGAGAGATGTATGTGACTTGTGCCATAATGGTAAACATTGCTTTGGTAAAGAAAACCGTCGAATAGTAATAACACCATTAGGCACTAAATAATATAAATGTTATAGCAAAAAAAGTATTGAAATTATCATGTACGTACTTTCTTCGGTAATACGTCGAAAGTAATGTAAAATACATTTGAGTTTTTCAATGTTTTTTGGATGTCCTGTTTTATATAATCTTTAAATTAATATGAATTTAATACGTATAGATTGAGAAACATATATTTACGAAATAAAATTTGCATGTGGAAAACTACTAAATTTATTTCTGCGTTTTGAATAAGAACGATTTGGGAATAAACAAAAAAATGAACAAGCTAATAATGAAGCAGCTTGTTTTTGTGACATTGTTACTGATCGATTCGATCCTGTACGTAATAAAGGTGGTGGCTAAAATCAAGAATATTTCGAATTTAATAAGAAAATACGAAAAATTAATACTTGAGGACAAACTAAACCAACATTTAATGCAAGACTACAAATATTAGATAGAACAGTCGACATAAAATGACGACGTTCATCTATTGAATAAATCTTAAAATAAATAGAAAGTATTTTCAATGTGTTATGTGAAAAATATATACTCTACTTCATTTATTAGTTTTTCTAGAGAGTTCATATCACAACGATGTCTAATGCAATTTTGAATTGTTTCCTATTAATATAGTATTTAATTAAATATGAAGAAAATCAAACATTGTATTTACTGTTAGATTTTCTACAGTAGCTGTATCAGTATCACACATATTCTTAAGTTCGATCAATGATTTACAAATTAATGACCATACAGGTTTTTTATCTTTCTTAATAAACAAAAATAAAAAAATAATATTTTAGAAAACTAAATCTTTATTAATCACAGTTGTATTATGTGGTGAGCATGGCATATGAACATGATTCATATCTCCTCGATGACTATAATTATTTTGACAGTAAATTGATGTAGGTTCACGTTCAGGATGTGTTGGATCAAATTTGAATGGCTTTTATTAAACAGATATATATTATTTTTATAAAAGTTAAATCTCTTACGGATATCATAAATATAGAATTTTCATCTTGAATTTGTTCCATATCCATTACATGAGGTGGATCTGGACAAATATTTATAATATCATCAAAAGATACACCCTAAAATAGAGTATTCAGAGTAGAAAAGCAATAGATTGTAGATCTTGCATGGGATAATATCTCATCAGTAGTATCTTCATCTTCAACGTTAGGATCATCTATGTTCACATCAGGGTCTATAGATTCATTAAATATATGTCAAATAAATATCCGTTAGAAAGATATATGCAGTGATAACTTACTTTCTTCTGATCCCGTTTCAGAATTATTGGATTCTGCTTGCTCTTGAGGGCTTGAATTTCGAGCAGCCATCTTACGATAGTTTTCTACAAATTTATAAATCTAGAAATCAAAGCAAAAAACCATTTATATGCATTTGTAATGTTTGTCAAAAATGTCATTTATTTGTTTTTAAACGAATGCAAATAAAATATTTCAAAAGCAAACAGAAGATTATGAATTATTCGTTAGAGTTTTGAGTTTTCATGAATTTTATCAAGAATATATTCAAATAGAGTTAATTGCCTAGATCGTTGAGAATATCGATCAAGATAACCATATAACTGAGCTACCGTAGCACGTTGTTTCTTCAAAATATCGTAAATTTCATAAAAAGTCTCAATTAACTTTTTATCACCAAACGCTGCATAGATTAAGGGTCGTCCAGCTACGGAAGCAGCCATCCACTGAATAATTGCTAAAAATTTATAATGAAAATAATGTATTCATTCTTTTTTCTATAAATAATTCATACCTTTCAATTGTTTATCACCATTGAATGCACCACAACCCCAGTTTCCTGTAGTAATACCAAACTCATAATTCGATCCTTTTCCTAATGGACGAAAGCTTGTGAAAGCTTTAATTAATTCACGATCGATAGCTTTCATGTTATATTGTGTTGATGGATCACGAAAGTAAATTGCATCCATTGCTACTAAGTGACACCATTTTCGACCCCAGTTATCTCTAAGCATGATAAAGTGTCAACAGTCACTCAAAGTTAAAAAATACAATGTTTCTTACTTTGGTGTAGTATCTTTATAATCTCCATCGAATTGAAATGAATGTGCATAGCCTCTGTATGATGAATATTGTTCACAACCAATCAAGAATATACATTCATTATCTTCCATTACTTCACAAACAAGTAGACTAACAAGCATCTCAGGACAAATACTAAAACGAATTTCTTCTTGTACACATCCTGATCCTAAAACACCACCACCCTAATATATTCATAAAATAATTTCATCATAGAATGATATGATTATTTGGATACTTACAATATATTTATTAGCAAAATCAGCCTACAAAAATCATTATAAATGAATATATAGATGACTGAACAGTATTTTACTTGTAGTGTATTCTGAACTTCTTCGATTTTTTTGCTCGTTGTTAGATGTAAATCACCGAGATTTATACTTGAATTACGCCATGAAGGATAAGATTCTGATGGTAACATATAACGTTGAAAGGTAATAACGCCATTTGGCACTAAATATTGAAAATGACATAAAAAATGATAGTAAAAGTTATTTTATACTAACTCTTTTCTGTAACACGTCGAAAATAATTTAAAATACATTTGAGCTTTTCCATCTTTTGTGGAGGGCCATTTGCATACAATCTTGAAAATTGTTCATATATAGATGTTTTATAATAAACTATCAAATCATATATTTACCTATCAAAATTAGGATTCTGATAATTATCTGCATCTTGTGGTTGTTTTCGGTTCGAACTATTTGGAAACAAACAGAAAAATGAACAAGCTAATAATGAAGCAGCTTGTTTTTGTGACATTGTCACCGATCGATTCGATCCTATACGTAATAAAGGTGGTGCCTGCAACCAAATAAATATCAGATTTTCTTATAAGGAGAGAATGTATAGATGTACCTGTGGACACACTGCTTCAAGAGTTAAAACAAGATCACACATTTTAGGAAGTGTAACGCGCAAGAATCTATCTTTTTCTTCTTGTGAGTACGCCTTCAAGTAATAATGAATTCATTTTATGATTAATTTAGTATGTAACTCACTTTTTCGATCAGTTTTTTCAGACATGTCATGTCATATCGAAATCCAGTACAAGCTTGAATGGTATTCTAGCAATTTAATTCGTTTATTTAAGTTAAAAAATTGAGTGAAACTCATTACTTCTAGATCTGCGAATGTCGCCAAGCCGTCATTACATTTGTTTTTTAGAGGATTCAACCATTGACGAATGATAGACCACATGGGTTGTCCTTGTCTCTTCATTATTAAAAAGTTATGTACAAACAACAGAAAAATTATTCGAACTTACATCAACATATTTTGGTGAACATGGCATACGAAGATGATTTTCATCCCACCGATCGTCATAACCATTTCCCACATTGATTGGATTTGGTGCGCGATCTGGTTGAGACGGATTATATTTGAAGGACTGTACAAATAATTAACAATTCGTTCTGTAATAATTCTACTTACTTCAATCATAAATATAGAATTTTCATTTCCAATAACTTGCATATCTTCTACTTGCGGTGGCTGAGAACATATGTTAGTAATACTTTCAAATGATGCACCCTATAAAAAATATTTAGAAGAAAGTAAAACACGGTCTAACTTACTCGAGATGCTGTTGCACCAGCTTGGGCTCCGTTTTCAAAAGCGTCAATATCTATATTATTCAATTTACAATATAAATATAAATTATGTTGAAACAGTTCGATTTTTAAATATATATTCATGATAAAAAACATACTTTCTTCTTCTATTGGCTCTGGTCCTTTATTATCAAATCTTCCTAGACGTTGTGGCGTTTGCTTTTGTTCATGATTACCAAATCTTTCTGGTTGTTGTGGTGCTTGCTTTGGTTCATGATTACCAAATCTTTCTGGTTGTTGTGGTGCTTGCTTCGGTTCATGATTATCATGTCTTCCTGGAGGTGGCATTTGCCTAGGTTCATGACTATCATGTTTTCCTGGGTGTTGTGGCGTTTGATTTGATTCATGTTTATTATAACTTCCTCGATGTTGTGAGCCTCGATCTGCAGACATGTGTCGAGTATCTGGCTCAGATCCTTTTCGTTGTGCTTCCCTTGTAGAATTAGGTGCACTTTGAACGCATCCCATTAGTTAAGAAATATAATGTATTATTGTAATAAAATTCAACGAAAAATAAACGAATGCTTGCAAAAAAATTATGAAAAAATGTTTCTTCCTAGCTCTATGTCAATATTTTTTCTCATTCTCTTTCTATGTTTTTAGTGAAATTTTTAAGGACGTAAATCATTTTTTTCTTCTCGACTCGCGTAAGCATGGCTTTTTATGATAAGAAAAAAAAATACATGTCTGAGACATCGACAAAAGAAAGAGAAACAACACATAACATCTTGCCTTCGCAGAATTTACAAAATTTCTATAGTAATGTATACAAATTTATACAGATTAATTGAGATACAGAAATATTATTTGAAAGCTCTATCGATACGGTAATCATATGAATAGTATTTAAGAACTATAAATAATTAAAAGTATTTTATAAGTTTAATAAAATTTTTAGCAACATCATTTAAAAAACCAGTAATAAATTATGCAGAGAACTAACGATATTATTTTGTCATTTTTATCAGAATATGATTCATTCAAATTAACAATCATATCGCTTATCTATGGACCAAAAAATGATTAAATCAAATTTAGGTATTCGTTAAATATAACATTCTTGACTTCTGAGTTTCATCTATCAATAAGAGTAGACATAACAACTCTATTAAATTTAAGTGTAAATACTAAATATAATTCTTCTACTTTAATCGAATGCACATATATACCTGATTATATAGACTCTCTAGCTAAGAATTTGATCGAAACAATTGACTAAATAAATTATTATCTTCATATAATTCACACATTGAAAATAGCAACTTTTTCAAATTTCGAAAAGAAAAAATTACTTCAAAAAAGAAGGAGAGAGAGTATCGAAAAACAGTAACATGACAGTTTTCACATAGATAAAAATTCATTGTCAAAAAAGATGTTCAATAATTAAATTTATACAATATCTATGGAATTAAGAATTTTATGCAAGTTGGTTTGCTCACATGAGCAGACACATCGGTTTTTGTCAGCTTTCCTGTAATTTGATCAATCGAAAATACCACTAAATTATTCGAATCTTGATTAGCCACAATTAAATGCATTCCGTTTGGCAGGATGTTAAAATTTCGAGGTGTACGCCCTTGTACATTTATGTGTTGTATAATAGTTAGAAGTCCAGTGGTTTTATCAACTTGAAAAACAGCTATAGAGTCATGACCACGATTCGATGCATAAAGAAATTTACCCGATACTGGATGGAGAAGAAGCTCCGCAGCATAATTGATCAATGTAAAATTTGGTGGTAATGTTGAAATGGTTTGAATTGCTCTTAGGCTAGGATAATATTTGAAAACAGTAATTGATGATGTCAATTCGTTCATTACATAAACATAACTTCCATCTTCACTGAATATTAAATGTCTAGGACCATTACCCGCTTGTACCGATTTTGTAACGTACAATTTTTTTAATGTTCCAGAAGTTGGTAAAAATCGATATACGTACAGTTCATCTGAACCTAAGTCAGCACTTATAGCATTTTCTTCTTTCTTATCTAGCAAAATACAATGAGGATGAGATGATGTTTGACTTTCAAGATCAATCGAGGATCCGTTTTGTTGATAAACTCCATCCGTTGGTTGAATATGCCCATTTTCACCCTCAAACGGTAACACAGCTATAGTGCCACTCATATAATTCGCAACAAAAATATATCGACCTATTTTATTCGATGAAAGATGGATTGGATAACTTCCATAAGACGATTGTTGATTGACTAATGTCAATTGGCCCGTTTGTATTGAATTAATTTTGAACGCATTTACTTTTCCTTCATTCAGTTCGTTGACAGATAAAATGTATTTTTTCGAGGGATGAATTAGTATGTACGTCGGATGAGGTGTAATTGCAACGAGTCCCAATGGTTTTAGTGATAAATTATTACTATCAAATGCAAATGCATAAATACCTTTACTATCAGTGTCATTCCTGCCGGTGTATGTACCGACATATATCAAGATGGATGCATTGTCTACTGGTCGTTCTCGAGACCAAGCATTCGATGAACCTAACAATTAGAATATTTTCTTCGATATTCTGAAAAGTTTATAACATTGTGAGATCTTACTGATAACAAACGCTATGAGTAACAAAAGGAACATGAAATCGAATATGAAAGATGATAAATCATCACTATTTTAATATACGCATATATATAAAGGTCACCCTGTAAATATCATTAGTAATACTTTGTAATCCATCAAAATACACGAAATAACATGTCCTTAATAGTACCATTTTGTGTTCTACTTTCAATAAAAACAAACTTTGATCCTCAATACACGAAGGTAAATGTAGCATGTGAGAGTCTTATTTTTACCCTACATCCTCCCATAGTCTCTTTAAACTTTTAGAAAAGTAAATATTTAGATGTATCTATGTTTATTTTAAAAATAGAAAAAAAAATTCATTTATTATAAGTTAACATTTGACAAACTAAATCTATTACATTCTATTTTTTAATGCATAGAGATTATTAAATATCATCATAATCAAAAAGAATTTGAGCATTTGGAAAGAGATAATGAATTTCTTCATTATTTAAGATATTTTTTTCATCATAAAAATGAACCATTTGTAAAAGTTTAATACGAACTAATGCATTCATAATAAAATTCTTGTCATGTTCATGTGTTAAAATTTCACGATACAATGAACGTCCAATATACATTTGTAAATAAATTAAATTAGGTAAAAGATGAAGAAAACGATGAAAGATTTCATAATTATCATATTGTGATCGTGCAAGAAAGGAAAATTTTGTAACTGATAATAGTTGTACAGTACGATTTAAAAGAAAACTATCATTTAAATGAGGAATATTTCTAAGTCGTTCATTTTCATATTCAAATTCTGGTAAATGAATTGGATCAGTTAGTTCAAGTGTTTTTAAATTTAAAAATGTTTTTTCAATAAATTGAAATGTTTCTAATGTTAATGGTGTTGTCGTAATCAATGAAAGTGTATGAACATGTTCAAAACAGAGTGAAACTGATCGATTCGATACCCAAGATGAAATAAAATCATTTGAAAGATGTTTGAACTAAATATACAAACAAAAAAATATATAAGTAATTCAATAAAATCAAATTTTACTCGATCAGATTTATATGGTAATGTAAATATTGTCTTTTGATGAGCATGAGTATCATTCCAAAATATAATAGGATTAAATTTTTGCCATGTTGTACTTCGAAATGTTTCAATATCTAATGGATTACTATAAACAGCAGTTGAATGAATAATTATATCTAATGATGATAAACATGGCATTTTATTTAATAAACCATTTTCAAGTCGTTTGCCATCGATTATATAATACATTAAATCAATATTAATTGTTAAACATTCAATTGTCGATCCAAAAGTAGAAAAGAAATTTTCTAAATGATCAAAATATTTTGTACAACCAATAAAAGTAACACGATAGAGTTTGTTATGTGTGATTACACTATCAAGATTAGGTTTTGGTTGAACTAAACGTTCCTCAGTTCGAAATTTAACCTAGAAATAAAGTTATATAAATAATGAGAAAGGAAAAACATTTTTATTTACTTTTAATTCTTGAAGATTAGGTAAATGTTCAATTAGTGCAAATACTCGATGCATTCCTTCAAGTTCAATTGAAAGATATGTTAATAGTGTACAAATATTTATGTCATCATAATCAAAATAAATAAAACGACCAGTAATATTAAGATATTCATATTGTGAATCAGATTGAAATAATTGATTAGCTATATCTCCCTTTCCATGAGGATATGTAAATGTAATCCAAAGTTGTTTGACATGTTGTTGAATATGATCAAGTCCTTCTTTTAATATATCCGTAGTCCAATCTGAACTAATAACATGCATAGATTGAATATCCGATGATGATAAATATTGCGAAATATTAGCTAGATATTTATCTTGTAAACGAAGTGCAATAAGATTCTGTTGACTGAATAAATTAGGTACATAAGTTTGAATCCATTGTTCAGATTCTTGAGATATATCAACATGTGATATAAATGATTGAATCAATGCTTGAATTCGAAACGATTTTATTTCAGAAAATATTTGGATTAAATGCGAAGATTTTATATATTGAAATATATATAAAAAAAGTTCGTTGGGTAAATCAAGTAATTGTGTTTTTATCATCATCATCTAGAAGAAGAAACAAAAAAAAACAGTCGACCTTTTATTCTCAAAGAAAATTCATATGACTTTTAAATTTTCTTCTATTCATCATGTCTATACATATCTACATTTTATCTTTTCTTTTGTTGATATATATATGTATAGGCACACATCCAGTAACATTTGTTTACCTTGAAATAGTCTCTTTCTTTCTTTCTATACTTTTGTGTGTATGTCTACATTTTCTTGATAAGTTTTATTAAGAAAAAACAAAATTTTCTTAACTAAAAATCCAATAATTCTTTTATATTCATTGATACAAGATTTGTTTCGAAATCATGTAAAATGAATACGACGTTTATCCTATTTAATAAATAATTAAAACTTTGAAAGAAATTTATTTACTTGTGAAAATTCATCAGTATAAAACCCTTTGGAAATCTTTTTTGGATCCATATCACAAAAATAGATTATCTATATAAAGTATCATTCAATGATCGATAAAATTTTCTTCCCTAAGAGGCATTGCACCTAAGCCACGACCGATTACAGCAGAACGATGCTCAATCAATCTCACCGATTTGGCTGATATTTTTATAGTAG